TAGACTTGTGCTCAGTGATGTTTTCTTTGTCTTCTGTAGCAAATCAATAATATCAGTGCCATGCTGGTGCTGGCCCGTGCTGTTTCGGGGCCCAGGGAGTACACGTTGGATCTGGAGATGGTGTCAGTTAACCCTCTGCTCAGCTACCAGAGCAGCTACCAGACCAGCTCCGCCCTCAGACTCTCCATCTACGTTGGGCCGTACAGCTTTTAGAGAGCAAGAGGAGGGACAGAAAAAGATGGAGGAAGAAAGCGAGCTGTGAGGAACAGAGGTGCAAAATAAATAAAAGTTGTCAAGCAGTTCAACCAGTCACTGTGATGTTACACTTTTAGCTTTTTGTATGTACTTGTCCAAAGAAAGCCACACATTCTGTCAGTCCACCGTATTACATGTATGAATAAACGTTCAGTACAGTATACACATACATTGTAGCAGTAATGTCTCAGCCTTAAAATAATTTGTCCAGTCAGATTTGTTCCCTTGTGATTTATCTGTCAGTTTTCCTGTTTTCAGAGATATCATGTCTACTGGTATATTTAACTTCACACCTATCTGACAGCATCATTGTGTCATCTATAACAGGGGATGTCATTCCTTCACATCTGTACAGGGTGATAACAACAAATCTGCGTGACATATTTTCTGTCTGCCTTCAGGTGGAGTGATTCACACCCAGCGTCACTAGATTAATCTGTTTTCATCAGTTCACATCCCTATCTTCAGCTCCTCTCTGTTAGTCACTTTATTCTTGTCAGCCCTGTTTCCTGTTGACAGACTTGATTCACTAACCACTCAGATCAGACCTCAGTATTCACGCTCCTCCTCCACCCTCCACCCTCCACTGTTCATTACTATGTCCAAGCTCTCTGTCACTGCCGTTTGTAGGATTGTCACGTCGCTGATTGTGTTGTACCTTTTTTTTCGTCTAAAGGTTTAAACCCAAATAAAACAATATACCTTTACAACTTTGTGTCACAGTGAAACCAAGTACAATTTCATTCTTTCCCTCTGGAATTTCTAATGATCTTCAGAGATCAAACAATTAGTTGATTAATAGATTAGCAGAAAGTAATCGGCAACTATTTTGATATCAATCAGCAGCCAAGCAAACATTCAATTTGCCGATCTTACATTTTATAGAAACAATTATTAATTAAAAACTAATCAATAATGTAAGTAGTTGTTAGTTACAACCATGGACGGATCATGCCACAATGGGCCCCTGGGCACAGACATGTAAAAGGCCCCCCACTGTCCTAAATAGAAGCAAGACATCAAAGCCCTTTTCAGACATGCACTGGAACCCTGAAACCATCTAGACATTACCCAGAGGAGCTGTATGTGAGAACACAAATGTCAGTCAGTTGATCTGGACCTTATGCAGACTTTATCCTGCCAGCTCCCTAGTACAAAATCTGCACAATATCCACAAGCTTGCACTCTGCTGCCCTTTGTTCTATTTTATTGTCACAGCACTTGTGTGCTAAATGATTCTCCTGACCCACAAAAAGAAAGAGGGAGAGAGAGGGAAACCCTTATTTTACACACCACTGCTGTTTGCCCCGCCTAGTCCTACACACAAAGGCACAAAAACCTACCACACACACACCTTCCATCTGTTCTCACTGGGGGGTGATGACTCACACACTTTTATATAATCGGAGCAGATTGCGTTCAGCCAGCAGGGGGCAGCACATCACACAACTCTCCTCTCACAGCAGCAGTCCAGGAATAGTAACAAGCTGAGCAGAGAGTATTGCTTTATAACATAACTGACTAGTGAGCCTACATTTTCTCCCATTTTCCATGAACTCACGTGCCTGTGGGAGGGGAAATGGATGGCAACTTTGTCTACTTTTCACAAATGTACAACACAGCCACTATCCTGTGCTAATACTCACCAAGTTCTGAAACTTTCTTCTGGTATTCAGACAAAAAGAAAACCTGACTGAAACAGTGTTTCATGGATGATTACTAAACGAGCCCACCAAGCTCAGGCACAGGGTCTCAGGCGGTCAGAGGGGCCCTGGGACTCCCCTGCAAAATGAAACAAAAAACACTAAAAATAGGTGCAAATCAACTACAGAAAAGACAAATATAAAACATACCACAAAGAAATGCAATATGACTAATGGCTGAAATGACAACTAAAGAAAGACCAAAAAATGGTGCAAAAGAACTTGAGTGAGATGCAACCTGGCTAAAATAAACACAAAAACAGCAAAGAGATGTAAAATAACAATAAAAGAAAACACACACACACACACACACACACACAGAGAGAGACACAAAATGATTGCGAAGTGATGCAGAAAGACACAGAGAGATGTAAAATGACACAAACTAGATGCAAAACAACGGCTAAAATGAAAAATGGCTGAAAATTGAAGCAAATGACTACAAAGTAACACAACCATAAACAGTCACAAAATGAGCAAAACATGGTGCAAAAGATCATAAAATGATCCAATAATAGCTAAAAAGAAACACAAAATGATTAAATATAGATGCAAAACAATATGAGATGCAAAGCTGCAAAAAAGCTAAATGATGTCAGAGACATAAAAGAGGCACAAAGTAAAGCAAACTAGGAAGTAAATAAGAACACAAAAACAAACAAATAAAAAAAACAAACAAGACCCACAACAACTAGAATGTGATGCAAAGTGAATACACAGAGACATAAGATAACTACAACAACACGCAAAACTACTACCGTATTAGCACAGGTTATGAGTGTAGTAAATGTATTTTCTCCAGTTATTTGCATGTCTCTGCTTGTGTGTGTGCAGGATGTGGGTGTTTACATAGGAGAACCTGTGTCTGAGTGTGGCAGTGCCCACATAGACAAGTGGGAGGAGTGTTTGGGGTGGCAGAGGGGAGTGTTGGAGCGCCTGGGCTTGTTTTTTTTTTTGGCACCTTTGCTCGAGTATGATCTCATTTCAGGGCAAGCTGTGCCCTGTAGGTCACAGTGTTGGAAGGCATGGGACCGGAAGTGGAGAAATAAAGACTCACACAGGGCAGAGTGCAACAACAACAATAACAAGTTCAGCACTATGGAACAAACATGGTGGACAGAAATGACACCTCACTATGTTATACAATCACGTTCTGTCCCTCAGCTTGAAACATGTTGCCATGACAGAGGAGCAATCTGTTTCCTTTCATCTCGTCCTATTACAATACAAAAGACTCTCGATGCCTCCCCCCTCCACTACACCACAATGCAGGTATTATATTTACGAATGAAAGTGCGAGGTGGAGTGTCATTTCCCTCCACCCACGCCCCTCAGACACCCAGATCAGTTCATTAACAAAGAGAGCAGGCAGTGGAATCTGTGGGACATCAAAAACAGGCCGCTCAATACATAGAGGACTGAGTGATGAGGGCATGAGGCATGAAATGGCTCTCTCTCTCTCTCTGCATATAGTGTATATGAATATATGAAAAGCGGGTGATTAAAGGGGAGAAAACAACCACTAACCATGTATGACACATCAGAGTCTGTATTCAGATTTGTTATTTCACTTCTTGTGACAGCTATTCCTAGTCACAGGAACTTGTACCATGAGGGGCACTTAATTGGCATGAGGTTAATTACTGATATATATTCCAATAGTTCCCTGTTCTCCTCTCTTGTCCATGAATGTCTTGTTCCAGTAGCCCACTTTTCATCAGGTTGCCCTGGTTCCCCAACACGGACCTTGTTGACCCGGGCAACGTCCAAGCCGGTGTGACTCTTATTTTTCCAACTCTCAATACCGATGAGGCAGGCAGATTAAGAACCCAGGCGGGATATTGACCATGCCCTGATCGGGGTTCGAACCCCCAACCTTCCATACCAAAGTCAGTGTTACCCACTGAGCTATCAAGATCCTGTGGGACTTCCAGATACAAACTGACAAACTGGTAATGGCCAACCAACCGGACATTGTGGTGGTGGACAAACAGAAGAAGAAGGCTGTAGTGATAGATGTAGCAATCCCAAGTGATAGCAACATCAGGAAGAAGGAACATGAGAAGCTTGAGAAATACCAAGGGCTGAAAGAAGAGCTAGAAAAGATGTGGAAGGTGAAGGCACAAGTGGTCCCCGTGGTAATAGGAACATTGGGGGCTGTGACCCCCAAACTGGGAGAGTGGCTCCAACAGATCCCAGGAACAACATCTGAGATCTCTGTCCAGAAGAGTGCAGTCCTAGCAACAGCTAAGATACTGAGCAGGACCCTCAAGCTGCCAGGCCTCTGGTAGAGGACCTGAGCTTAAAGGAAGGAATATAAGACCACCCCAAAGTGGGGGGCGAGTGGGGATTTTTATATATATGTATATGTATATGTATATGTACTGTATATATTAATGTGCAAGCACTGTTAGCAGCTCAGTGAGGAATGCTAAGACACCAATGTTTAGCAGGTCAAACATTCACCTTATTCACCATCTTAGTTTAGTGTGTTAGCATGCTAGCGTTTACTAATTAATTAACAGAGAACACAAACTCCGGCTGGGGCTGAGGAATGTCATTAGTTTTGCAGGTATTAGGATACTTTCTCTTGGGGCCATAAATATCTGTTTAAACATTTCATGGCAATGCATCTGATAGTTGTAAGATATTTCAGTATGAGCCAAAGTGTTGGGCTAACCAACCAACTCCACTAGCATACTGAATTTAAACAGAGACATTGAATCTCTAAGGACTGGTGCTGTCTAACAGGCATACATGGTCCTACTGTGCACAGGTCCTACTGAGACATCGGGGGGCCTGAGCCAGAGCCTCTGCATGAAGTGACTATTATTATTTATTATTTGAAAGTCAAAGAACTCGGTGATTAACTACAAACAGACAAAAGAAAATTATTGTAGAGACACAAACGGCTGCAAAGAGACACAGAGCTACAAAAAAGTATGCAAATCTACCATAAAAAGACACAAAAGAGACAAAAAATAAGTAGTGACTACTAAGACAGAAAATCAATATAAAGAGACAAAACTACAAAAAGAGACAGAACCACTACAAGTTTGCATCTTTGTTGTCGTTTTGTGTGTCTTTAAGTCTAGGGGTCCTATACTGTCTGTACTCAGGGGCTCGTTTTCTCATAATACATCCATGCTAGGATAAATGTATTTCCAAACATAAATTTTGATTGTATTTTTTCTCTAGAAACAAATCCTGGGAATTTTATTTTTCTGTCTCTCTTTTTTTATATATAAATATTTGTCGAACCAGAGGCAACCTGAACATATCAATCAGGAGTTTACATGTGAAATTCTCTCTAAACTGGCCCGGCTGTAATATAACAGCAGCCGTTTCTTGTCAGCTCTGCAAATAATTAGCTTACCACTCTGGTCCAATTACAGGTTCACCTGCTGGTTCTGTTCATTACCTCAGGTCAGTGTAATCTCATATGAACCTACTGGGATTTTAGTGCAGAGACTTGCAGTGAGCAGGATATTGGGTCACATGTCGATGATTAACATCTGTGTAGTTAAAAATATGACTGTGCAGGTGTCTGATAGGATGACTGCACATACAGCTGCCAGAAGCCGCCCCCCAGAACAATTGAGTAACATCATTATCTTTGTCATTCAAACAAACAACACTTCAATTAGGATGCCGGATTACATGAGAGCTGCTGAGACTTCAGGTCCAGATGTTGAGACGGCTGCTCATCCCACCTCTCTGCTCTCTCTGCAGCCTTGGATGGATTTATATAAAGCTCTAAGCTGGACCTTACCCATCCCAACTCTACCTACAATTTCTTCTTCTCATTGCGTAAATGTGGTTACCAAGAAACGACAAAGTGTTGCTATGGGTGCGTGGGTGTATATCAGCAAAAGGGACCTATGCTGAAAAGACATTCAGCCCTGAGAAAAATAACAGAAATGAAAAACTGAAAGGCACATGAACGCTAGGGACCAGGTAGCTGTGAATCAGAGAACACAAACAGTT